ATCACTCTCCGTGGCGGTTCGCTGGTATCGCGCCGGGCTCTGATGGCGTTGCCAGGACATTTTTATTTTGTATCGCCCCGTGACACTACTCTGATAGCGCAAGTGGAAATATAATTGGTGATAAGATTTAAAAAAAGACCAGTTAAATCTACTGGCATATCTCTCATCGTATTGCATGCAATTGATTTTGCTAGACCCATCGTGCAATCTGCTTGTTGACATGCAGCTTCTATCAGTGAAGTGTGTGTTTTTGTTGTTGATCTTTGATGGCTTAAAAAAAATATTTTTTTAAGAGGCCCACTTATTTTCTCAATTATTTAGAAACGAAAACGCATTACATAATATACGATTTGGTTTTCGAGAAGCCTTTCAAAACTCCCTGACCTGGAAACTCGACATCTGACAGTCGCTCTAATCTAAATCCCCAATCATGGCCTATTGATTTTGTCTGCGAAAACCCGCTCATGGCGTAAAAACAAACCAAAGCAATACAAAAAAACAACCCCGGCTAAACCGGTCCATTAAGTGAGCGTCGACTTTGATTCGCTGAGGTCGCTTTAGAACCGCATCGAAATGCACGCCGCACTCTCTGCTCGTGAAACACCAAGCGTCGAGTCCAGCCGGAGGGACTTAGACCCCCCACCCCCCCCTTCAAACCGAGAGAGGAGTCGTTGGACATTCCACCACGCTCCCATGGCAGGGGAAGGAGTGGGCTGGCGGGGGAGGGGGGTCACAGTCGTTCCGTGGAAAATATGAAAAGGGGAGAATTATTCATCGTAAAATTCATGAGGCCCCCTGGAGGGGACCTCCAGCAAGCGATTTGGTGATTTGGCATTAGGAGAGACGGGGAGTACCGACACTTGACCCCACCACACGGGGGACCCGAACTGTGGTGCACCAGTGTCGTCCCTCGGGTGGACAGAGCCCAGGGGAACGGGGGGAGGGAGATTCCAGAACCTCGCGACGTTGCTTCGACCGCTGGCGCCGCGAGGGGAAGTCGAACCGGTGCGTTGCAAGTGCGGAGCCCTGGCAGCGTCCGAACGCAAGACTTGGACTTGTGCGTGGTTTTTTGTTCGTTCCAATGTTAATTTAGTTTGAGTTTCGTCTCTAAATGTAATTGGCACGTGGGTATTGCGTAAGCGCCCGCGACCTTGCAAGCGGCGGGCGATACGCGCTGGAAAGCTTGGCACGCTTGAACTTATTCAACGCGCCTTGCACATCGAGAGGCAGATGCCCGAAAGATGAGTGTCGCAGGAAGTGGCAAGCTCGCTCGTCAACAACGACTGTAATTTACGGCTATGCAAACATTTGGCCGGGGTGGTGGGGGGGTAACTCAGCGGGCAGAGCGAGCGGCCTGGCAATCGTACGGTTGCGAATTGATTCAAATCCTGGTGCTCGTGGGATAACTCAGCCAATCACACCTTCTGGGGTCGATAAAAAGGTTGCCACTTTGTGGGGGTGAAGTCAACAGATAGTGTGTCCTGTGGGTTGGACTTGCTGCCCGCCATAAGATTTGTGGAATTTCCACCACTGGTTCAGAGCTGTAAACAACAGAAAATGAGCAGCGATGCTTCAATGCTCATTTGAGTGAAAATCAGTGACATTCGTTTTTTTTTTACATAGAATATAAGTG